TGTTTCAGCATTCATGTCGTTGATACCATCAGTGATAAGAATGATGGACTTGAAAGAGATACCGACATTGGTGGACCAACTTTCGGAATATGAACCAGACATTGGTAGTGTTATAAATTTATTCTTAATTTCATTTTTATGTTCTGTTTGTTGTTGTTTTTTTTTCATGTTTGTTATATCTGTTCCATTCAAATTTTTAATGGGTTGCCTAACGTTTTACTTTACTTTACCTTTTAGCTTCGTTATTAATTAAATAAAGCCTTAATTACTAAGGTAGATTTTCTTTACTTTATTTCAGGTAGTTTACAAACTGAGCTAGAGATCTGGCGAGGGAGGTGGAAGAACTGTGAGAACTCTCCAGATACTCTAATCAGTGCCCTCAAATCTTGCTGTAAGGATTTATTTCCAAATCTTCATGTGCTGCTTCAACTTGGATACCTCATTCCTATCAATAACTGCGAAGCAGAAAGATCATTTTCGGCTGTTCGATGAATGAAAACGACGTTGCGATCAGTGATGTTGGAGGATCGCCTTAGTGCCCTAGTATTGCTTAACTCTAGCCACAGACTTCAATTTAACGTACAAGATGTTATTCAAAGATTCATCCTCAAAAAGCCACGCCGACTATCTTTAACCTTGTACAAAGAGTAGACTTTATCTCTTGATGAAATAAGTATCAATAACGGCTGTGTTGCAGTTTCGACTTTGAAGGGGGTAAAGTATCAAATAGCATTTTTTGTTCACTTGATATTACTAATAAATATTTCAACTTACAAAACTTTTGATTTACATGAAACATATTCTATATAAATACTTAAATTTTCCATGTGGACCCCTCCTCCTCAAAATCCTTTATCCGCCCCTGTTTATGGTACCGAAAAAATAGTATTAGGAATAATGGACTATTAATCAGGCACAAAATTGAATATTTCTTTTTAAAAAAACATATAAATTACGACTTTATTACTGATAAAGGACGAGTGATTTTGTGTTTAAACGTTTATAGTTACTGTAGTGCACACGAAAAGTTGAAACAGACCTAGCATGGCTTGGTAGTTAAGGCAACCGACTCACAATCTGCGGATTGTGGGTTTGAATACAAGTTTTGAATATGCTTAACCTTTCAGCCGTTGGAGCGTTATAATACGATGGTTAATCCCACTATTCAATTGGAGTTTCCCAAGAGTTACCGGTGGGTGAGGTTGACTAGCTGTTTTCCATCTATTCTATTACTTTTAAATTAGGGACGGCTTGCGCAGGTAAGCACCAAGTAGCCGTGCGCGAAATTCATCAAACAAACGAAACAAAAGGTAAAACAGTATTGTATAGAAGTTAAGTCACACGACTAACACACAAAAATTATAGATACCTTGTATGTGTTTTTCAAATATGTAAATTAAGTTTGGCAAAGTAACCGACCTTAGATTATTATCCAGAATTTAAAACAATGTCTATCCCTCTTACTGAGATGTATAGAAAGCATACAATTAAGTGCTTTGTTAATAGTTTATCTTATAACATAGCTATCAACCTCTAATACCCATGACTGGGTGATAAAATTAAAAATTTTGGGTCCAGGGCGAAGCTCTGGTGGATATCTAGGGTGGCGAAGTCCCCTACATGAAAAGGAATTTCACATCTTTAGAGTTTGAGTCGATGTGTCTTTCAACATCACGCAGCCCTTGGTGCTTGTAGCTTTCTGAACTGTTATACACTGTGTATCGAAAATAATTCTTACTGGAGAAGTCAGGATTGAACTTATTATTATATGTTGTAGCACCTTAAAATTTTGCCAGTTTGTGTTGTTTTGATGTTGATAGACCGTCAGATACTGAACTACTTTCATTCATCTCGTTTACTAGGTTGACAACAAATGGCGCGTGCTTGTTTGTGTGTGATAGCTCATTTAATTGGTTATGAGACGAACAAAGAACCAATCACTTGATTGATACACACGCGCAGCAACTAGACTGGTCCTTCATCCTCGCTACCCATTGCGCACATTTGAATTAAAAGATTAGCACCGTCCTAATAGTTTTGCGTAGAGAATTATATGTTTTAATATCATATGATGGGAAAAATTAAACACTGATAACCGTGAAATTTTAGCAGACAGGCATGAGCCCGTAATCTGTGTCCAAAATTAAAAATCATATACACTATGTATATCATTCAGAATGTCAGAGTGGTCAGAATGAGGCCTGGGATCTGAGCACTATATATTAAAATCAAAAGAGCTAACAGTTAAATTGGTAAAATATCAGCTTTTGGATGTACAAATAGGAATACAGTAATAACACTCTACTTATCCTGTTAATAATTAATCAGAATGCTACAAGGTATGGTTTTCAATATTTATTTTGTATTTTGATTTTCTGGGCTCATGGCGTGTATGATCAAAATCTATAAAAGTAATTATAGAGTTTTTAAACTTATGGCTACCAGATGGCACTTTCCTGAAAAATGTCGGGTATAGTGAGAAGTGTTTGTATTAAGTGCACTGAACAGCGTAAGTGGATTTGTAGTTTTATTTATTTTAAGTTAGAATTAGATTGACCTCTAGATATATGATTTTAATGAAAATAAATAAAAGACTGCTAATTTTAAAATCAACAGCAAGGATTTTATTTAATATGTTAAAAGTAAGCAAAATGTTAGAATTGGGACAGGTGCAACTCCACCGTCCTCGTTAAACTTAAAATTAAATTAAAACTAAATGAAATTGAAAGGATGCTGATGCCAGTGATGGCAAGCACAGAAATGCAAGTCTCTCTCTTTCATTTTTGATAGGACACTGGACACGTACCTGAAAACTGGAACGCTTGTTTAGAAAGTTGCCTTAGAAATTATCGTCCAGTTACTGAGTTAATCTTAAATCTGTAGTGGTAAAAATTCTAGAGATACTGATACATTTATTAAAAGAATCTTCACAAAATCATTTAATGAAATATAACTGAGATTTATCATGGATATACGAAATGGAAATACTGCCTTACTAATCTGTTATATTTTTTTGAGTATGTTACTTGTTACCTGGACAAACAAAGAGTGTAGACTTTGTGTACTTGTTACCTGGACAAGCAAAGAGTGTAGACTTTGTGTACTTAGGTTTTTCGAAAAGCTTTTGTTAAGGTGCCACATAAAAGATAGTTAAGAAAATCACATTGGTATAGTTTGAGAAAAGACTAGTTAATTGGACTGTATAGGTGGGATTGAGAAAGCAAAAGATTATTAATGGAGTCCAATTAATCGAACCCTTGTTATTAGTGAAGTACCACACGTATCAGTGCTAGGGCCTTTGCTTTTTCTTATTTATCTTAATGGTATTGATAGGGAAATAATAAATTATTAAAGTTTCTGATAACGTTAAACTATGGGGAATTTCTAGCTCTACTGAGGTTGGGGTTATTCAGAATTACTGATCAAGTGGAAAATACTTTGCAGATTATATTTAATTATATTAAGTGCAGAAGATTGAAAGCTGGTTGATGTTACTTCTTTTTTCAAAATACACGATAAAAATTATTTTGGTAATTATAGACCCATTGGTTTGAAAATATTTTGAAATTCTGATCAAAGATGCTTTTGCAACGTCATTTAACAAAGTTTAAAATTTTGTTGGATATTCATCATGGTTTCACTAGGGGAAATTCTTGCCTAACTAATTTTTTGACATTCTTTGAAGAGATTACTGTTTATGTAGACAAGGGTGTGGGTGTGTGGATTTGGTATATCTGGATTTTGACAATGTGCCGCATAAAAGACTTGTACAAAATAATCTCTATAGATGTGGGGAATAAGTTGGCTAATTGGATAGAAAAATGGCTGGATGGAGTCAAACAGGATTGTCACAAGTGAGGTACCTCAGGGCTTAATGTTAAGGTCTTTATGCTTTTTGATTTACATCAATGATATAAATAAAATAATAATTCATAAGTTACTTAAGTTACTGATGATATTAAGGCCTTTGAGTGTTACTGGCTGTGAATAAGATGATGTTGCTTTACAAAAGAACTTAGATTATTTGGTGAGTTTGGCAAACAAATGTCAAATGGCTTTTAATCTTAATAAATGCAAGTTAATGTATGCGAGTTACCATATTTTGAATTATAAGTATAATTTTGATGGGAATAAACTTGAAGGTTTATGCAAGGAAAGGATCTTGATATTCTGATTAATCAATCTCTTAAGCTATTCAAGCAATGTGCTGTTGCTAGCTGTAGGGCAAATAGGAGTTTAATGCTGTATCTACAGAAATATTGAATACAAGTCTAGAGAGGCTATAATTTCATAGTATAGGTCACTGAGTAGGTTACATTTGGAGTATTGTGTTTATTTTTGGGCTCCTCACCGCCTTAAGAAAGACATTGAATTATTGGACAGGGTTCAGAGGAGAGCTACTAGGATAATACCTGGGATGGAAAAGTTGTTATACAAGGACAGGTTGAGATCTCTGAAATTGTTTTCTCTTGAAAAAAGGAGAATTAGAGGGAATCTGATTGAGGAGTTTAAGATTTTTAAGGGAATTGATAATGTTGCATCATCTTTTTTCACACTTAATTGTGCAAATGGTAGGACTAAGGAATATGTATATAAATTTTGGCAGGGTAGGAGTCATCTTCAGCTAATACAGCTTTACTTTTCTAACAGAGTGGTTGGCCTTTGGAATGGATTGTCTTCAGATGTGATGGATGCATTTAATACAAAGAAGTTTAAGGGAAGACTTGATAAATATTTTAATGATAAAGGCCTTTATTCTATCCATTCAATATATCTTGTAAATTTCAGTAAGAACACCTCTTACCCTTCTTTTCCCAAGATATTGTAACCTATCCTTATAAGATAACTTCCATCCTGAGAATCCTCCTAGTATCCCTCCTCTCTAAAATACATAGGCGGCCCTCAGCAGTAATTAGTGGAATTTATTGCAGTATTTAAATTATTTTTGTTTAAATTTTTTATGTTATTTATGTTCTATTAGAAACCTTGTAACCAATAAAAGCATGGATTTACAAGCAATTTGGTGCATAGATAGTTTAGAAAAATGTCTAAAAAGCCAATGGGGTCCATATGGATTCTACTGGTAATTCTAGAGGTTAATTAGACAGTTGTACCATTTATAAATTATTTTATATTGTTACTATATGTATATATGAAATGAACATACATTGGATACAAGTTATATTTAATAACTTCTCAACCATAATTTTACAGAAGTTTGGAGAAAAAATATATCTCATTAATCATTTCTTATTTTAATATCAGACTTTTTCCATACTTTACTTGTTTGGAATACATTGTTAAAAGAAAATGTGTTATGTATACAAATAGTATTTTAGATACACTTGACTTCTATAGGTCTAGTGCAATTGAAGACTTCTGATATTGAACAAAAGAATCTCTTGAAGCAGTTATTTGAATTTCTTAATGGAGTGATTAAGGAAAATGAGAGAAAACACTTCTAAAAACCAGAAAGTTTTTATACCATAATTTTTATATTTGTGTTGAAATATTACAGAGTTTCATTATTTTCTCTTCTTCAGTGTTGAAATCCACTACAGTCTCAAACTTCTCTTATCAGTGGACCTCCTTGTTTAGTCCATTGCATCGTAGGTTATCTGCTGAAACACAGTTAATAACAGATCCTGTAGAAAAACATGAAGGTAAGCTTTAGAATACATCTCATGTTATGTGTATTTATGTAAACGTAAAAAACTGGTAGTTACAAAGGTCACACATTTTTAAAATTGATTACTGCAAACACACAACGTTCTGAAAAATGAGTATGACAGTATATCACATTATATCATATAAGTTTAAGTCAAAGTATTTTAAGACTGATATTTTGTAATTTTGCAACATTTATTTAAAGTAGTGTACAAAAGAAAAATAAGACATATGTTCTAGCTTTCATTTCTTCAACTATGAGGAGTCTTGCATTTAAAAACTGCACTTATCAAGTTTTTTCTATAATTTTCTGCCAATACCCCCCCTCACCCCCAAAGTATAATTTTATATTTGCTAAAAAAATATCATTCCTTTAGAATATTATTATCCGTGGCTTGTTTCTTACATGATTTTCCTTCTCTGTTAGTGATTTTATTACTACAGGCTTTGTTCCATCCCTAAAATGATGTGTTAGATTTAGTGGGGAAACTTGCACATACCTGTTTTCCTCCTTGCACTCAATTTTCATCTTTCATTGTGTCCCACTTAACTTAGTTCCTTGTTTCAAGAATGTACTTCATTTGGATATCTTCATTTCTGACATTAGCCTCCCTCAATATCTTCTTAGAAATGTTTATCTGGCATCCCTTTTTTGTGATGAAGTTTTCTGGGAGTGTTTCTTGTACTTTGGAATCTTGAGCTGATGCAGCATCATTTCAGCTCGTTTTGATTTCTTGCCTTTTTAGACCAGGGAAACCCACAAGTTTTCTCACTCTCTCCAACCTTTTTGGGTTGTCCCCTCTCCTATTCCTAGTTTGCTTATTACTATCCATTGCCCCACACCCCACTCTCTGAAGGCTTGCCATCATGGGTCTTTTGAGGAGTCTTGTTTCTGGAGCTTCCCCTCAGCTCTAGTCTGATGGAAGCTCTGCTTTCCCATTTTGTATACATGTGAACTCACTTTGCCACAGACTACTGGGTTACTCAGGTTTTTTTTTCCCGTCTTACCACTTCTCCTTCCTCCCTAAATCTTTGGCTGCTTTTGAGGGTGATTGGATGTTTTCATCATTTAACCTTTCTTCTCTGTCATCTCCTTTATCCTGTAGGGGCTGTTCACTGCTATCTCACTCGTACTGCCCATTTTGAGGGCAGTTTACATCTTTTCTTGCTGTGGGATTCCTCTAGTAACTTATCTCATTCCACTTTGGCTGGTTGAGTAATACATCTCATCCAGCTAGTTTATATTTCTATTGGTGATGACCCCTATTTTTCATGTCTCGTCCCATTACATTTGCTGTCTCAAAGCTTCTCTTGCCTCTATCTATCACAGTCCCTGGTATGAGATCTTGAAGGCATGAATGTGAATGATCACCAACATGTGTAATATTACTTAAACCACATTGCAGTTTCTTCTAATCTGAGTTTCATCTCCCTCCAGTCACCTTTTCCCACTCTTCACAGTGTTTTAAACAAAAGATACAATAGTCTTACATTCACATTATATTTATTTATTCTGTTGTTTATTTCTGTTTGTTGTAAGTTTTCTTAATTAAATTCACTCCCAAATATTTGAAATTTACCACCTGCTTTAATCTTTGCTGTTCAATAAATATATTTCTAAATTCTCTCTAATTCTACCAATATTCATAACTTCAGTTTTTGTCTTTAATTAATTTCATTATCCTTCTTTCCTGTCCTTTACACTATTTATTCACAGTGTTTTGTAAGCTTTCTTTATTTTCTGTCACAATAGCTATATCATCTGCATATGTAAGGGTGTTCTGTCCTCATGTATACATAACTTATTCAGACATAAATAACAAATAATAAGGTGACAGTACACCTCCATGTCTGACTCCTGCCTTCACACCTTGCTAGCACCTGCTGTCTTTATTTGTGGTTAACCATTGCCCAGTCTATTGGTTGGGACCTTATGCAGATGTGATGATTTCGATTTGGTTCGAGTACCTTCCATGTTTCTCCCCCTTGTAAACCCCCTCCCCCTTTTTATTTCTTCAAGTAGATTAATAAGAGAACCCTCGCTTCCCTTGTCGCAAGCCATTGGGTAGGTTGACATATAGACTTTCTAGTTGGGTCAGTTTTATCCCACGGGTATGAGACCAAGTGATTGCACACCTCAATGGGAAGTAAGGCTCAAGTGTTACCTGGAAGTGTTGTATAGGCCACCCCACTACACTACGAACAAAACCATTCTTGGTGGTTAGGTCAGCCAGATAGACTTTGCAGGTCTTGGATATCTTCCCTCTTCACCTGACTATTCTAGTAAGTATTTCTCCAGTATGGTATGGTATGACTTATTGTCCTTAGCCTCACTACTCACTCATGCTTAACCCGACCACCTGACAGATAATGGCCAGTTGAACAATCTTACATTCCACCCACCTATGAGACTTTAGCACCATGTATAAGGTTCTTTTGACAATCTTCAGCTCGATCACTTTTACTGTGCAAAGAATATTCCCTCCACGAGAAGGATATGGTCTTCCTCTAAATAATACCCCACTAGGCTACCCCCTAGTGGATGACACACTCCAAGGGTTTCCCCTTTCTGATGCTACAATTTCAGAAAGGAGCTCTTCTTTGTAAGTTCTTTCTCTAAACTTTGTTCTTCACCACCTTATCATTGAAGGCTTCTTGCTCTTTGTTTTGCAGAGAGGTAACTTTCTACCTGAAATACATTTTCAGGTAAGGAAAAGTTAGCATTTAAATAACTAAAATAAAAGTTAGGCACTTTAAAACTTTACTAAATTACCAAACATATGTACAGTAAAAGTAAGTATTTTTTTTTAAACTAAACTTAAAATTTTATGAGATTAGAGTTTAATGCTATTACTAAAGCTACCTAGACTGCATTTCCCCAGTCAATCAACTGCATGTTCTTCATAGTACATTACATTAAGGTTAATCATGCATTAGAACTAGCTTGTATCCAGTAATAAGACCTAAATATTATTCAATCCAATCTTGCTATCAGAAATACACTAACTTAAGTATTACCAAAATATAACTTATGATATTCAGTGAATCATTATATTCCACTAATAATTTCTGTGTTACTGATAAAGGTTAATATTTAGAAAATATTTAATCTAGAAGGTACTAATAGTCTCGGTGAGTTAGATAGTTGTGTTTGAATATGAAGAATATTAAGACTTAAGCTGGTTTTTATTAGAGCATAGAAACTGCCTGATTCAATTGTTCAAAATCTTCAGATCTGAGTTATGAATGACAAAAACATTAGGGGTGAAAAGTATAAATTTTGAAGGTGCATGTCTTGGCTTGTATTTAGACAACAGTACAACTCTGCTAGGCTTATGGAGTTACCTATCTGGTGTTAGTTGGAATACATCTGTTTGGAGGATCAGTGTATAAATGTAAAAACCTTGGATTACTGATTGTGGTTGGTTATTGTAAAAGTGAAAAAATGATCATGATGAAGGAGATGGCTCTTCTGTCAATATACATGCTCTTATGTAGGTAATGAATAAAGGGCATTCTCTCAAATTAACAGCATTTGACAATATTTCATCTAGAAAAACAGATTATACCATTTAATGATTTCCTGTAGCAACACATCTTAATAACATGAAGATCTATGACAATTTTAGGTACCATATTATATATTTTTAAGTTTAAGTGATGATTTGTTTTCTGTTATGATAGCTCACATGTTGATTCAGTACAATTTAACATTTTAAAGTAAAAGTCCTGTAAATAGTGGTTGTTATCTATAATATATTCTTTATTAACTGGTTATCCTCCTGAGATTAGAAAATTATTTAAAATATTCACAAACCTTTTGCAACAACATATTTATTTTAATATAGTAGATATGGTGATAATATAAAACATCCTTGCTTGTTCAAAGAAATACTCTCTTTGTAAGGTTCAAAATATTTCAACAGATTACTTCTGTTGTTTCACATAACTTCAAAATCATTGTCATTTTTAAGGGACAAACCACAGTGACTTGGCCTTACAAAGTAATTAAATTGGAACACGCTTACAGAGCAGAAAAGGTGAATTTCTTGTGAATTAAGGACACCTTCAAATTAGCAGTTAAGGCTCTCACAAAGCTAGCTTAAATTAAAAACTTCCTATCTTCTGCTTCTCTTTACGTGCTGAACATTAATCACTGATGTTTGGTTTGTATATAATGTTACTAGTGGTTCATCTTCTAAGCTTACCCTGTAATGATAGAGTGTTATACTATATTTGATGTGGTTAAAAACCACTAGAGAAATTTCTTCATTCATGCATATTTGACTTCAGAATATTTTACTCCTGAAAATAGCATTATCTTACATTCAAAATTGGTGAAAACAAAAATTCAAAACCTAAGAATCAGATGGTTTATTTATTTTGAAAACTGTATGTATATTTGTCTTAATATATACGTCATTATTTTTCATTTTAACAGCACATATTTTGAAACATTAATAACTTTCTTAAGACAACATATACTTTTATTTAGGGACTAATTGAATAAAACGTTGTTTTTTTTTCAAAGGAGTACAGCAACCAGTTGTGATTGATCCCTTGAAACATCCAGATTTTTTTGAAGTTCACAAGTTGTTTACTGTTAAAGATTTATTTGATGCAAGAGTTCACCTAGGGCACAAAGAGGGAACACTTGATGAAAACATGAAACCATTTATTTTTGGTTCTCGTCTGGGTAACTTAGTCATCGACTTGGACCAGACAGCATTCTATCTACGACAAGCTCTGAACTTCATTGCCCATATTGCGTATTGTGATGGGATCATTTTATTTGTTACCCGCCACAGACAGGTAAGTTAAAGCATTCTTGAAGCATGCTTTTTTTTCTTCACCCCAGTCACTTTGCATGGATGTCACACTAAAACTTTTAAGATTCAGACAAATTAATGTGAAATAATGACATTGAAAATGTATTTTTTTAAACAGATATAATTAGTGAAGAAGACATAATTTGTTGATTTAGATGACTGTGGATTAAAGAGTGAATTAGAAATAATCTAATCCAAATACAAAAGAAAATGAACTTGCATGTAAATTAACTTCCAGTATGTTACTAATCTATAATATTACTTGGTTTAGAAATTATAGCTATGAAAATAGTTTAAAGATTTGGGCTTTTTTAGTATAGAATTTAGAGAAACAAGAGTGATTCAGTTACATAAAATTGTTAAGGGCTCATATAAACTACTTATGAGAAGTTTAAAAAGTCCAAATCCAGAACTTTCTTTGGCTCAGTTACTTCACCATAAGTGTTTCAAACTTGTAGAATGGTTTGCCTAGTGATTGTCTGTTTTATTCACTTGAAAAGCACTTAGCTTTTTATTGGGTGCAAAAAGCTATTATAAATTTGAGTTAGCTGCTACTTTTCTTCTGCAGATGGATCTCTGCCACCTTGCTGATTTTTACATTCAATTATTTTGATGTATTGTCTCCCCAAGCCTTTTTGATGCCATTTCTCTTATGTCGTATGTTGAATAAACTCTTACTAACTTTTTAAACATTTCCATCAAGAGGAATTGTTCACAAAATAAAAGGGTAGATTCAAATATATTATTGTACTTCTGCTTTGGTAAGAAGTTAGAATTCAAGGTGGAAGCAATCATTTTTGGCAAAGAAAAGATCATAAGAATAAACAAAGACCTTAATGGAAAGATGGTATACATTTAAACATATTGTGTTGATTTTTTAAAAAGGAAATTTCACATGGAAGAGATTTCGTAAAGTTTGTCACAGGAGAAGTATAAGGAAAATAGACAGAAAATATTAGGGTAATGCTGCAGAAATAAAGTTGTCTGTCTAAAGTTCCATTTTTATTCCATAAAAATGTTAACATTTTTTTCAAAAGTTATAAAGAATTTTTTATACATAAGTAGATACATTAGTTTTATGTAAACTTTTCTTCACAACTTTTTGTTGTAGTTTGTCACTTTTGTTTCTTATGACTTTATTGCATTTTTTCTAGGGAAAAATTAAGCTGTAATCAAAAGTAAGATTGACAAGTAGCAATTAAGTTAAAGTGAATTAAAATATTGAGAATAAGCTCAATAAATTTGTAATGAGTTTTAGTGAGCTGTTAAAGCAGTATTAGTTAGTATTGTTTTTAACTTCCAGTGCTTGGCAAATGACAAGTTTTTTTGTAATCTTGTTTTAATTTTTAAACACATTTTCCAATATAGACTTCACAGTTTGTTGAAAAAACAGCCAAAGAATGTGGAGAATTTGCACACACCAGATACTGGAGAGGAGGAATCTTTACAAATGCCAACATGCAGTTTGGCACTATCACTCGTTTACCTGACCTTGTGATTTTTCTGAACACTTTAAACAATGTTTTTGAGCCACATGTAGCAGTGAGGGATTCTGCTAAGATGCTCATCCCGACAGTGGGGATTGTTGACACCAACTGCAATCCTAACCTGATAACTTATCCAGTACCAGGAAATGATGATACACCTTGTGCTGTTGAACTTTATTGTAAACTCTTTAAACAAGCCATATTAAAAGGGAAATCGAAACGGAAAGTAATGGAACAAGAAGAGTAATCATAAGATCCCGTAATAAGTTGTAAGATTGATGTAAAATAGGTAATAATAGGAGAACTTGCTTACCTTTAATTAAATAAAATATACCACAAATCATAAACATACCTCATAAAAAACATGTCCCATATATGAGAGTATTTTATGTAAGAGTTAAACATTCAGTTTCTTTACCTGGATTCTATGACTTAATAAGACATAATTTACAGTGACAATAAATCTGAGTTTGAACAGTGTAGTATGTATGTGTAAGAAAATGCATATATTTACAGCTAACATTTATTTTATGACCAGAAAATAAGTTTGAAATCACATTTTTTGATGTATGTACTAATGATATTTACATGAAAAAGTAAATGTGTTTGCAGTGTCAATGTAGACACTTGTACAGGTATAATATAATTCTCTATTTAGCCATAGTGTGACCTCTGTTATGTTTATCTATTCATTGAAGATTCACTACCTGCTAAAACTTTCAGTGTTAAAATTGAAACATTCTTTTGGTATTAATGAAGATAGCAGGTGGTGTATTTTCCAATAATACTTTCTTGGTCACTTGTTACAAGTAACCTCATATTCACCAATTACTAACATCAAGATCGAATTCTTTGACTCATTGTCTTCTTGTTTATTGTTGTACTCTTTATATAATTGATTCATTTGTATTAATTTATCATGATATAGGTATGCCACTATTACACTTCACTAAGTATTCTAGTAGTTTATATAACTTGACTCCAGCTGCCACATGAACAGGTTTGGAAATATTCTACCAAATCTCTGATTGATTGCAGTGCTAGTGTCATCTAGGGGCTGCCAAACTCATTTATATTTCAGGCTTCACAAAATAAACAGTTTGGCAAAATTTGAATGAATTAAATTTTTAAACTAAAATATGTTAGCCAAGTTTATAATTTGTGCTTTACTACTGTACCTCTGTAAACAGAGGAAACAACTCCCATGCAGCTTATAAAACTGGCGTACTTTCCAGCTAAATAGATTGAAATTTAGTGTGTACAGGGCAGCACTGTAGAGTTCTCATATCTTTAATAGATTATTGGAGTGATTTTCTCGAAGCATCAGATGGTATTTTGCATCAGAAAAATTCACTTGGGCTCAGAAAACAAGGGTTGAAACACCCTTTCAATCACATGATCCTCCTAGCTTAAGAAGTAAATTAAATGGTAAACACTAAACCATAAAACTTACATCATATGTGAAATACTACCTGATAGAAAGCAACAGCTAAAGAGCTCTTTCAACAAAATTTTTGAACTCCCAGTTACCATCTCCATTTGTACAAACTGTTGATTTACTAACCCTTATATCGTTTCACACCATCTTACTTAGCTTTTGTTGACCAAACAGTGACCATATGGTATATTGCATACATAGTATTTCACATTAACAGTTTCAGTTATTAACTTTTAATCTCATGACTGTCCAAGCTGTTGACAATCAAGTGGTGAGTCTACAATGTGGTACATATATATAGTACATACATAGTATCTCATTACCATTTGAGAGCTCAGAAAGAAAGGATTGCAAAGCCCTTTCAGTCATTGGTTTCTCGACCAAACAAGCATCCTAACTAAATACATAAGTGGAAATTGCTTGATGTAGTGCATACATTTCATTATACATCACATGATAACTTGGAAAGCAGTGAATACCACTTCCTTTCAGCCTGTGAACATGCATGTCGGCAACTGTTCTAGCCGGTGATGATCGAGCAGCTGTCAGCTGATATCTGTTAGATATCTTATAAAGTCAAACTGCTTATCAGCTTGGAAAGCAAGAGTTGCAAAACCCTTTCAGTCTGTAGTCTTTCAACTACCTGACTGCCCTAGCAGATGATGATTGTTCCATTGCACCAATAGTAGTCAGGAGGCTGGTTTTAGCATCTCATCTGATGATCAGAGACATCTGTTGCTTCTATATCCAGTGGCTCCTTCGGTGTCATCCAGTCATAACACTTCTGTCATCAAGATGCCTTCCCTAGTTGTTGTTAGTCAAAATCGAGCTCATCTACCATCATAGATCTCAGCTGCTCTACATATTCCTGTGGACATTGAGTGATATCTTATCATGGGGGAGGGGGCATACATCACATAAATATACATATTTCACAGGTTTTCAACCACAACTCGAAAGTTCATTGACCAAACACCAAAACTTCTTCGACATAGACCAGGCATCTCTCCCATTGCAGTCTGTTCAGTGTAAGCTCCATTAGCCCCTTAAAAGTTGTGGGCTCTTTATACAGACCAAATGGCATGCCATTATGCTAAAAGTAGTCTTAAGCTTGTTCTTGTTGTCCAGATCAACTTGCTAGTAACTATTAATATTATACTGTTATTCCGTCTGCTACATACACACGTGTAGTTCACTGTCCCCGGGTTCAGTCTTGCTGTCATTGGATGATTCTCCCATGGAACATCAGCTCACCTGTTGTATAGTGAAAACTGATAGATAAATGGATAACCTCTGCATTACATCCAACCTGAGGATGCCACAACCAGATCCAAGGTTGGATATGTCTATCTTTTTTCTTTGAGCAACATTTCCTAGACAGAACCAGATATCTACCTCTTCTTTAATTTTAGTCTCTTGCTATTCGGCAGAATAAATTCAGTATTAACTAGTTGAAGTGGTGTTCTTGCTTAGAGGGATTAAAATATTGTGAGGTCCACTAGTATTCTTGCAGCTCATGTCAACCTGGAACTGAAACCTCTCACCCTTGTACCTTCACAAGTATGTAATAAATTCTACACAGCCCTGACAGTGCTGGGCTGACCACAAAACACTTTGTTGAAAGCAATTTGCTGTGCTCCATCAAGCTGGTAGCCAAACCTAACTTGGCTCCATCAGTTTTTCAGAACATTGGCTACATCATCCACCACTTCTGTTGTTTTTCCTGGATTACCTTTGCTCTTTCTGTCCTGAACAATGTCCAGGTAGGGGCATTTGCTGTGGAATGCATCACATGAGCAGACATTGTAATAGCATATAACCATGAGCAGACAAGCATGGTTGAGGTGCCTGAGTAGGTTGATCCATCTGAGGGGTAGTCACAACAGCTGTTGCTGTGGGCTTCTAATGGTTGGTCCAAAGTTATCACTTCACACTTTGTTACTACAGAAACTAGATCAGTTAGGTTGAGGATGTTTCTTACACCTAGGTGCTGCCTCATGGCTTCATTAAAAAGACCTTCAATGAATTTATACATAAGTGTGGTTTTACAATATGTAGATATCATTGCCAGGTAGTCTTTCCCATGCGATCAACACAGATTATCAATATAGGCAGCCAGTCTATTTGTTCTGGTGTTCTTCTAAGTTTTGAACACAGCTTGATAAATTGTCTGATCCTACACTGAGTTGGATTAACAATGCAGCATATAAACGACAATCTCCTATTCTTCTTGGTGCTCTTCATCTAGATGTTTAATGACATCGAGGGCTTGATTGTCCAAGCTCAGGGGTCAGGTGTTGGACAGCTTATTCTTGAGTTCACCTATTTCTGTGGTCTGGGCTCTCCAGACATCAGTAAATCTTCCCTAGTCTGACGTTGTAGGTTGATCGATGTCGTGGACCATCACAGCATAAGCAAAATTCCTATTTGTACTAGAGAACTTCTGGACTCAACATTTACCTCATACAACCATCTCTCTTTGACAGCAAACTCTACCTCTCGATCATGAGTACTTCTACATCTAGAATGAACTATTCTTTTGAACATCTCACTTTCCTATCTACTTGTGGTATTCTTAGATAAATAGATCCACTTAATAATGGAAGGGTTGAACCGAATATTGCAGAGTAATCTGAATTTTAAAATCCGACCGAGTTTTAAGGTATGAGAAATAAACAGATTGAACAAGTATGCAGTTAAGTGTAAAACAATCTATTAAAATTCAGCCAATAAAGAGTATGCGTAGTAGCACATGCGAGTGAACAATGGCCTCTTTAATGGATAAGGGAATCAATCAGCAACTTTCCTTTTCAAGAGCCAGACCTCTGTCAAACACTTTGATAACCAGGTGGGACTGAGAAACAGTAAATACTTTGATTATGCAAGAGGGCTTGTATTATTTCTCTTACGAGGGCAGCACCACGCAACTGGTCATTCTTTCACAGCATTCATTGGCTGTAACATACAGACATCATCCACTTGCCAACAGAGGACGTCGTACTAATTGTCCTTTTCAACACAGAAGTGTAACAGCATCTCCTCGGGCAGAGTAGATATTGTCTGCTTTAGAGAACTAACACGCAAAGGGAACATCGATGACAGTTTTCAGTATCTTGTGTTTATGTCAAACTGCACAGAAACTAAGTAAACGAAAAATATTTGTAAATTCCTATATTGATAAAAGTGCGTATGAAACGGATAATATATCTACATGTCACACCTGTTTCAACACTCGATGTAAACAACTAACCCAAACCAATTTGGTGAAATCAGTTATTTTATATGTAAAATACTGCACATACTTTTAAACTTAAGTTTGAAGTTTGATCCTAACTACTTAGCTATATTAGAAAATGGAATGTCAAACAACGCTAATTTAGTATTTATAAAAGCTTCATACGAAGATTTATTTGTTTCATTACAAAAGCATAATGACTTAAGGGTTACCGATTTTTTTTCTTATTTAGAAACAAGATTAAGTGAATAACATCCAAAGTAAACCACTAGTGGTGATGTAATTTGGGAATTTTACAATATGGTTGTAATTGCATGGTATTTATATTATATAGTCTTAGAAATTTATGCAAAGTTTCACCACTAGATGGCAATAGGTTAATGTTATTTGTTTTGTCGTATAAATGAATATCGCGTACGCTGTAACTCCTTCTGTGGACAGTAGAGAGAAAATGGTTTGTAATCTACAGTCACCCAAGTAACAAAAAAAAGTATATATAAAACGAATTATAACATGGTTTTTGTTTAATGTGTTAAGCATTTTCTCGTCTACTTATCTGCTTTTTTTATATTTTAAGGTATTACTTTGTACGAACACTTTTAAATAGAACTCGAAAATAAAAATTTACACACTTTAAGTATCGGTTGAATATGTCCTCGAAGTTGAACTGCAATCTGCCTATATGGTACTTGAATTTATGTCAGTGTTTTAAAATGGTTATAAGCGAACATGTACAATGATTTAATTTTAGAACTATGTATTATATAAGTATTTAACTTTTAAATGACATAACGTACTCGCTATAAAATCTTTAGGACGTAGAGTAGTATGATATACGTTAATAACCGAAAAGAGTCATGATGATTTGAAAGAGTTATTCTCAGCTGAGTAGTATCACGTACAATGATGTACAATAGATAATTTTAAAAGTTTCCACGAAACGCTGATTCAGAAAATTTGCTACGGAGAATAACTTCGGACTCAGGCAGCAAAGCTAGAAAAAAAAATACAAGTGAACAAGTAAAAATTAAAAAAATATTTATTCACAGAAATTGTGTAACGTATCTGTTTACCAGACTGACTGGCTTCTGATTCATTGGTTGACTATACTGACCACTAGGGTGGAGATTTCTCTTTAAATGACAATACTGGGCAAAGACAAGAAAAATTCGACATGCGTCTACACAGGCAAAAAGAAATTAAAATTTAATTTAGCGCCCAAATGTACATAAAAACATTGAAAGTGTGGAATATCAGATTCCAACTCTGCTTATGTCACTGATTATTCCAAACACTTTTATAGGAGAGAAAGAAAAAACCCTATAACTCATTCCAGTTAGTACAAGCATCTGTGCCATTATTTGAGATGGGCTTGCCCATCTAAGGAAACCAGACACAGGGTATAAGTAATATGGATTTTTAACAGCTGGCATATGCAGTCTCTACCGGAATAAATGGATGAATATGCTTACAATCTTTCGAATATTATACTACATGTAGATCATCTGAACGAAAATTAGAGATTTAACTCAATATATCTGACGGAGGATTTATTCTCTACTATTTATAGAAAGTTAAAAGCCATGACTATTTCAGTCATTACAGGTGTAAATAAGAAACCATAAACTTGAACTTGGTATGATTTAGGAATGTTTAAGTTTAAAATACTTCAAAACACATACTTGTTTGTCAACATTTTCTAGAAATTTGTCAATCTTTGAAACTTTCTATCGTTTTCATATTTAGATGTATAGGGATATTTTCAATTATCTGAGCGCTGCACACACCCACTGATTAATCATTGAAATTTAAAAACTGAATGTAAAAACAAATATTCTTCATAATTTAATGAAACAGTTAACCTTGATTTTTGTAGACTAAACTGAAATGTCAGTCACACCGTACATAATCACCCTACTTTCATTAAAGTGAACTCATATTTGACAAATACTCTTATACCGGAGTGTACTCGTTATTTCAGCCTCGCCTTGCTGTCTAATACACATAAAAGTGCTATATTGTTTGTTTTAGTGCCAAAATCCACAATAGACTAGCTGCACTGCGTCTGCTGCAGGTATCAAATTCCGAATTCTAGTGTTATAAGCCTTTCAAGTTTACCATCGAGTAACCAGGGGACAAAAAAGTGTACTACAAGCCAAATGACAACTATTCATTAAATTAAGTTGATTTAAACATAGAGTATGGAATTTCGACAGAATAAAGAGGACGTTATCAAATAAAGGATTTCTTGAAAACAATTTTCTCCCTTTGTAAATATATTTAAAAATTTTAATTCAACACAGTAACTTCTCCTAAATATTATGTTAGTGGCGCATGGGAATCTTAAGATATGTTCTTGGGAGTTATCGCCCGCCAAAAAGAAAATAAAGTTGTTAGTTGTTTGTAATTAAACACAAAGCCACACAATATCGAATATCGAAACCCGATTTTTGGCGTCGTAAGCCTGCAGACTTAACGCTGGGGGACTTAAAGAGAAAAAACACAATGTAGTCCATTATTTCTTTCTCTCTTCGTGGGTTTTGTATTTTCAAAATAGCTTTTTGAGCTTTGCACTTACTATAATCTGAATATATTAATGATAAAAAGAGACAGGAGATAAGAATTCTGTGTATTGATTCTCTAAAGCTTTTTCAGTTGTGTTTGAGTAACTATATTGTACAGCAAGGTTCTTTATAAAACAGTTTAACAAGTGAATTGATATTTTTTCGAATTATCATTGTAGAAAAGAAACGCAGATTTTAGAATAACAGATATAATATTTCACTATCGTCTAAGTATATCATTAAGGTATATTTGACACAAAAAGTAAACGGTTAAGTGCAGTGGTAGACAACCTGAGACTCCTTAAGTCCTAAAAAAAAAACTTATCACAACAACATAAATGGTTTGCAAGAGTTGATAGGCCGAGAATGGCTAGCCTACCGGACTATGTATCTGAGTGTCCACCATTCGCATCCTGTTACCGAAGAAAAGAAGAAGAGGGATCCGCACTTTTGGGCCGTCAATTCGTTATTTGGTCAGACAATGTAGCTAAAGATAGCAGTGGAAACTGTTGACTAGCTACTTTCCATTCGGTCTGTCCGTTCAAAATTAGGGACGGCTAATGCAACTAGCTCTTTAGTAGCTTTGTGCAAGTATCCGAAAACAAACAAGAGTCAATTCTTTCCGTAACTGATTATTTATATATTTATCGTATACCATAGTTTTTAATATCGTTGTATTTATTGTATACTATAGTTTTTAATATCGTTGTATTTATTGTATACTATAGTTTTTAATATCGTTGTATTTATGGTATACTATAGTTTTTAATATCGTTGTATTTATTGTATACTATAGTTTTGAATATCGTTGTATTTATTGTATACTATAGTTTTTAATATCGTTGTATTTATGGTATACTATAGTTTTTAATATCGTTGTATTTATTGTATACTATAGTTTTTAATATCGGTGATCGCTATTAAAACTTTAATATGTTTGGCTTATAACTGTAAATGGGTTTTGTGGCACTTTAGGCCCTTGGGTGTTGGAGGGCTGTGGATTAATTTTTAAATTCTCGGGAAGCCCAAGTTAAGATAGAGCAAGGCCCCTTATATATAGGTCCGTATGAATTATAGAAATACAAACAATGTCTGCATGTTGAATAATACACACTAGACAAACCAAAAGAGTACAGCAACAACACAAAATATTTATTCATAAACAATATATATATTTTCAAAAGAACAATTTTATATTTTAACAAAGTATAATAGTTTGACGTCATTTATTGATGAATTGTTTTCAGAAAGTAATTAAATAAACTTGCTGGCTGCAGGTCTGTTCTGTCTATTTATAAATAATAACTTAAATCTGGCCTGTTTATGAAGATTAACAAAAGAGAAATTATGAGTTATGAACAGCAATCATAGTCATTGATTACTAGAAAGGTTTCTGTTGATTCTTTTTCTTTTGTAGGGGAGTGGGGCAATTATGGATAACTTAGTTAGACTGTTCCTTAATCCCACCTTGGGTTTATTGTATAGTAGTCCAACACTCAAGTTATTTCTTTATTTACGTTATATTCTTTTAAACGTTTCAACGTCTAATTATAGGTAGGAAAGATGCTAATATTGTGTTCGATAGATCTTTGCTGCAATTTGAAAAGATAGGTGAAAATAAGCTTAAGTTTGATTGTACAAGTTTTTAAACCCATTGACTAGTAGAACATTTTTATGCAGTACTTTAGTTACAAACTAACACTGATGTAGAAATGTAATCACCAGTTGGTCACACAGATACCAGATAAAAATGCTTGGTTTTGAACATTGTTTTCCATTTCAGAATAATTGGTTAGCCCCCAGTGGCACAGCGGTATGTATACGGACTTATACTGCTAGAAACCGGGTTTAGATACCCGTGGTGGGCAGAGCATAGATAGCCTTTCGTGTAGCTTTGCGCTTAGTAACAAACAACAACAAGAATCCTTTATCGTGTGCTAAATCCTCATTTGACTAACCGGACTGAAGTGGTAGCAGAAAAGCCAGGATATATTTGTCTGTGAAAAGCTTAAAATAAAACAGATTTTTAATATCTTGATAAAAGAGTTAGCACAAAGGATCGCATATAAACTCGAGCGCTTTCGAATAGTTGACTATTCTTCTTCAGGAGAACAAAGGGTGTTTTTTTTTTCTTAAGTCTTATTTTTCCTAAAAGAAGCAACAGGAACTTCCGTAAAAATAGTTTTTAGTCTATCATTAAGTTCAAGGAGGTAAAAGTGTTTTTTCAGTATCCGGGGTAGGTTTTTTAATTTTGGGTGATATGTGCTAACTAGTGGAACACGAGAGGAATTTGTTTTAGGTGACTGTTTCAAGGCAGATACACGTGGAATATTGTTAGCTTTGTCAACTTGTTGAATCACAGTGTTTTGTTTATACCCTCTTTCGGTCACAGCTAATTTCAAAGAATCAATGTGACGGTCATAGTTCTTACTGTCAGAGCAGATTTTTTTTAAAATCTAAGTGATTGATGTTTTAATAATTATTTATTCGTCTTATTTCCTGTACTGCATCTTCATCGGCTACCTCAACGTCCTCAAACAGTAGCTACGCGTCGAAATATAACTAGTATTTCCTTACTTGGTAAAGTAGTTGACGCGCCCTCTACCTAACGTTAACCAATCACATTCCTCTCGGTCACGTGGGTATACAAGTAACGTCGCTGGTAGTTCTTATACAGTACACTGCCATTTTGTGCATGATGTTTGTTATTCGAACTTGTATAAAATATTTTGTTTTCTATGAAGAATATTTATTTTCTCACAATGACGCCTGACAAGAATGACAACACAGGAATTACATTCAAACAGCGGAGATCACTCTGTAAGTTTCCCTCCTTTCTATAGACTAAAACAAATATCTAAGACTGTAAATTCAAAGACGAATAGTAAAAATTAAACTGTTCCATGAACTGCTATTTCTAATTGTATAAATATAAACAGTGTTTTAACCATGAAAATCAGTAATACACAAATAATACATCACTAGAGAATAAGTTCTTGTTGTTTGTTAGTAAGCACAGAGCTACACACAAAGGGCTGTCTATGCTCTGCCCACCACGGGTATCGGATCCCGGTTTCTAGCAGTATAAGTCCGCAGACATGCGCTGTGCCACTGGGAGGCCAATAAGGAATAAATTTGTGCTTTGTGTGAGATGTATGTACTAAAATTATTTGACTACTGAAACGCTGTTTAGGAATTATTGTTTAAATGGATATAGATGGGGTTCAATCCTCGACCTTCCATATACGAAGCGTGTACTGAACCATATTAACCAAACTGCCAAATTTTTTCATATGC